CTACAAAATAATGTCAGACAATTTCACTTCTCTGCCGCAGACTTATAGAAAAGCTCCTGAAAAAGGGTTTGGCATGGAACAAAGACATCTAGCGATGGAACATCTGCCACATGTAGGTTCAGGCGGGAACTCCAGAGTAAGAAAATGTTTAAACCCAATAGTTGTGTGTATTCTTAATGAATCTTGGGGAGCTTTGTGTATTTCTTAGATCTGTGCAGCACCAAAAATAGCACTTACCAAGGCTCATCACCGGTGAGCTGAGACCTCCCTCCCCAAAAAATCCAGTTAGATAAACGCTTACAAATTTAATTGCGATAGGGTATGTTTAGAGAGGACTCAGATGTTTGTAAATTTTTGAAATTTATTGAAATTCTTATTTTTAAAACAGTGTTTTGTGAGATAAAAATGTTTAAGATTGGTGCTCATACATAAATCTAGTTAATTCCTTGTTACTGAGATACTTGCTAATTCACATAGTGTTCATAAATTATGTAATTATTCACATAACAACAACTTATACAGTTTCATAAACAATATGCTACAGTTTGAGGAATCTCCTACGCGTTTCGCTCACAGGCTTCTTCGGGTGTTTTTTGTGTGTATGTATATCGCTTTTCAGCACCAATCTAATTTTAAACAAATAATACAATATTAATCAAAAATCCTTATCCATAATTCATAAATTAATTATTCATCATTGGTTCATAGGGTATATTCATTAGTCAGTACACTTAGAGGGACTAGAAATCATAGCAATACATTATATAGCAACCCAGAATGGCAACGGCTATAGAAGGCTACAAATCTCAACAATACATTATACAGCAATGCAGAATACTATCAACTATAGAGGACTACAAATCCCAGCGATACATTATACAGCAATGCCGAATGGCAACCGACTATGGAGAACTACAAATCGCAGCAATACATTTTACAGCAATGTAGAATAATGTTAAGCTACATACTCTGGGGTACCAGACTGATATTTCCAGCAGGGGATCTCAGGTGGGCTGTGGAGGGTGTCAGGTAGGCTGTGTGGGGTCTCACCAGGGCTGTGGGGGCTCCGAGGAGGCTGTACAGGGTCTCAGAAGGCTGTGCAGGGTCTTACCATGGCTGTGCAGGGTCTCAGGAGGCTGTGGGTGATCTCACCAGGGGTCCGCAGGGTATTACGCGGGCAGGTGCGGGCGGATTGGTTCCCCAGAAAAGAGTAGTAGATGTGCAGTTGGCGCTGTAAACTGGTGCTGTCTGGTTCACAAAAAGGTTGCCAAGGTCTCCAGCTAGACCTCAGGAAGCCGCTTCTGTTTAAAAGTTTAAAATGCCGGTATCGGGGTGTTTTCACGAGTATGAGTACTTGTGAAAATGCCCAGTATCGCCACAGATACCAGTATTGGTGCATCCGTAGTCACTGCTGCTCTCTCTCCTTGTGCAGGGTGCCTGGTCTACGTCACAGGATACTGAAGCCATTGGATCAGCATAGACAGCGTGGCAATTAGCATTTTCAGAAATAGAGATCTGCAAAGGGAAGGTTTTAGGTTAAAGCAGGGGTGGGCAACTATGGCCCTCTAACTGTTGTGTAACTACAAGTCCCATGAGGCACTGCAAGACTGACAGTTACAGGCATCACTCCCAGAGGCAGAGGCATATTGGGATTTGTAGTTAAATCACACCTGGAGGGCTGGAGTTGCCCACCCCTTGGTTAAAGGTTAATTTTTATGATTGCATGAAAGGTTATGGGGATGAAATGGGTCATGTTAAAGCCCATCTCTGGGCGAACAAAAAAGTATGCCGCCGCGCTGCATGGGTCAGGTCCTCATTCTTGCCTAGGGGGACTGGAGTAAAGCTGAATTACTTACCTGATCACAGATCTCTACATTACCATAAAGCTACCACCAGATGGCGATATGTAAGCACAATAGATTGCATGTAGATATAATTCAACCCACACACACAGACCACACATAGACCTCTCTTGGGGTAGGATGGGTTGGGGGCAGTTCTCAAGCAAGCACACAGAGTTCAGGCAGATAGCAATCATTCACAGTAGGGTTGGGCTCTGACACATGGGACCATTTATAAGGGGGGGGGGGGGGTTAAGAATTTAAATCATCATTTTTTTTCTAAACTGAAAATGTTCACCTGCCCCTGCCTTGCAATGCTTTTTGTTGTCATGGTATTAAAATGAACATGAAAGGGATTTTGACAGTTTATATAACATGGAAAATTTGCTTTGTTTTTTTTTTTTACCATTTTATAAAAAAGGATGTGTCGCTGCTAAAGTTAGGTGGAAAGTTGCAAAGACCCAGCTCTTTAATTAAACTGCAAAGGATGCTGCTAGATGCAAGCCAAACTTCATGTAAATGAAAACAATTAAATCCCCAGCCAAATATGCGTTGCCAGTGTAGGCTGCTGAGACCGTTTGTAAAAAGTACTGTTCTGTAACATTGCATACAGCATTAAGGCATCGCCTGAGCGTGTAATTTAAAGAAGAACTCCGGGCATACGTATTCTTAACCCTTGCAGTGGGGCTACCTTCGTACTGCAAGGATTAAGTGCTTGTTTTCATCTAGGGTTGAAAAATAACAAAGTTACACTCACCTGAACCTCGGACCGGCTGGCTGCTAGACCATTCACTTCAGCCTCACTCTCCCTCCATTCTGGTGGTCTAAGGTCCTATGAGTCTTTGTGTCCAATACACTGTATTGGACATGAGGACGCACCATCGCTTAAAGGGAGAAGGAGAGAGGCTGAAGGGGCCAGTCTAGCAGTCAGGTGGCTGCGATATTCAGGTGAGTAAAACTTTATTTTCATCACTAGAAAAAAAGGAGCACTTAACCCTTGCAGTGCGGAGATAGATCCACAGCAAGGGTTAAGAATTATTATGCCCAGAGTTCTTCTTTCAAGGATTTATGTCTTTACATTTTGCCTTTGAAGACTCTCCCGCCATTGTACGATATTATATATTTGTAACAAATTTAATTTGCTTGGGTACATAACCCCCATGGCAGTGCTTGGCTTCCCATGCTTTTTTTTTTTAACCTATTATCCCTAAAAATGAAAATGGCCAGAATTTAACAACACAACCCCCGTTACCCTCACCCCCTTCCTATAGACTTTAAAGGGATTCACCTCTAATTTCAAGTTCACCAAATAAAACCTGGGCAGATTCACCCATCACTATTTACGATGCACTCAGAATTAGCAACCAGGACTAGATGAACAAATGCAAATCCTTTAACAGGTAAGATGGTTCTCTCCGTGTAGTTCACCTGGAGATTTAGCGGTTTGCCTGCAGTTCAGCTTTAGGAAATGTTTGTCATATTCCCTGATCTACAGAAAACCATTGGAGGAAGCATATGATAAATGGATGCATCTTGCTGCACTCCTTAGCGGATCTGTAGATGACCTGTACATACAGGTGGGTGGTTGTAGTGGCCACGGATGGCACCGTGATGAGCATACAGTTTTATTGAAAAATTGCCATTCGATTGCAAGTGCTTTCGGGGCCTCACAGGGTGCCCATCATCATCATAATTCCGAACCTGATGAAGGGGACCCTGTGAGGCCCCAAAAGCACTTGCACTTTCATTAAAATTGACTTTTGCTGATCACTTCAATGCAGTGTGCTGGTGACATCCTCTATAACGATGGAGAAAGCTTTCACATGTCTGCATGAAATACAATAAAAGTATTGACCAGCAAACATGTACAAGTAGAAACGTTACATTACAGAAGACTTTCAGCAGTGTTACAGTAGACATTTAAGTGTGTGCCTGCTAAAGACACACCATTGCCTTCCTTTATATTATAAACATTTTAGATTGTTGGCGCTATATAAAATACCTGTAATAAATAAATATAGGTCTGCTGCAGTCAATGCAACCCTTCTACCATTTCTTTACTTTTACATGTCAAATAAAAATGGGTAAACATTGGTTCTAAACATTTTATTTATATTATTGAAATGCACATACAAGATATAGTCAAAGGTGAAATCAATGTTTCCAGTTATCCCTACTTCCCACATATTTTATTGAATTATTGAAATCTACTAGATGCATTATAAAAATAAAGATTTAATTGTGATAGACGTCTTCTCTTCTCTTTTCAGATTAACACTGTAAAACAGAATTGCAAAAATGGTTTTATAACCAATTAAAAACCAATCAAGCTAAAAAAAAAAGGTGAAAATTCAAAGATTACATGCACTCATGGTGTTTATATCTTTATACAGCGTGTATATGTGTATATATAAAAAAATTTATATGGCTCCCTACCACCAGAGCCACATGTCTGTTTGGTGTCATCCCCCTTCCTCAATAACCACAAATCTCTATGGCTGTCCACAGGTAATGTGAGTCCATGAATCATGTTATAAAGTGCTAAATACCCAATACCTCTTTAAAACATACCCAGGTCCCAAAATGGTAATTTTACCATCTAAGAAGGTTGGGGAATTCTAAAACTCACTCTTCTGATATAAGCAGGATGACAATTTTATCCCATTCATACTGGTGATCTAATTCAACAGTGGAATCCTAGAAGACCTTTACAGCACCTCCCACTTAAAACTATACAGCAACAAGTTTTGTAGGGCAGCTTGGTCTAAACGTTGCACTGAGGTTCCTACTCCTATCCCCAACCCAGTTAGCAATAAAACTTGGAAAAGGATCTATGTCTCCACTGAAGAGGAACTCCCACTTTCTATCCCAGCAATACTCTAAATGTGCGGGTGTGACATGACAGAGGTTCAAATCATTCTCTCCTCTAAGTGCTTTTTATTGCCATCTGTGTCCCTGTTGGAGAATTTGCTCACCTCCTGTCCCAGTAACAAAACCTGATGAGAGAGGTTCTAATCTGATAAATCTATCTGAGAGTCCATGTACAGCTTCTTTCTATATATGTCCTATAACCAAGCTCTTGGCTCAAGTACTGTCTCAATCCATATTCCATTTCTTTTGCCTTTTGGTAATACTGCTGGCAAAATAAGGTCAGCACTTCTATGGTGAGCACTGGAAGTTACCTGTTGTATATGAAGCTTTGAACCCCGCAGAGGGAACAGAGCCATCACTGACAAATTCAATCAGCATCTGTTCTGTGGAGGAAATGATTGTAGGAGTCTGAACTGTACCACATGCTCTGTCCAACAACAAGGGGTAGTTCCTGGTGGGTCCATCATAAATCCTTATGTAGTCAGCAACACACCCAGCGGTGTTCTGGATATCGAAATAATTGAATGTGAGGGCAACCTAAAATGAAGAGGAGATACACATGTGAAAGACTGCATAGGATGTAGAAGCAACTACATGCCGCCTATACACTTAGTGTTATCTTAGTAGAATTAATTTCACAGTCACTGAGAGATCTACACTTTGTGGCTTAACGTTTGTGGAAACATGACCATGACACAAACCTATATGGCTAAAAGTATCTGGGCACCCCTCCGAATTGTAGTCAGGTGTTCTCAGTAAAGCTACAGCAGACAAAGACATATTGGGACAGTTGCGTGTTTCCAACATTGTAGCAACAGTTAAGGAATGCCCTTGGCTGTTCCAGTAGGACTGTACACTGTAAGCAAAGCCAGCTTCATAAAGACATGGCTTGACCACAATTTATTACCAAACCCCACCACCTCAACAGGGGATTTCATCAACTCAGCTATCATTAATCAATAAATGTTTGGAAATGTTCTGGTGCTTCTTTTGGTACTACACAGAGCATTTTTTGGCCTCACAGACTTCAATAGAAGTGCATGAAAAATGCACGTATGTTCATTTGACGCATTTTTATGCTTAAGTATCCGCAAAGGAACAGTACGCCTAATGAGTGTCACAGCAGATATAATCATTGGCCAAATGATAAAAAAAAAAAAAATAGCATGAAACATGAAAATGCATTAAAAAACATGCAAAGATGTGCTACAGAAACCATACAGGCCATTAGAATCTTACAATGCCTCATGGGATTTGTAGTTCCACCACAGCTGGAGGGCCGGAGTTTGGCTACCCCTGCTTTAGAGAATACCACATCACCCTCAATATTTTCCTTTTTTATCCTGCTTTTAAATAGTTCTCTATAGTTTTTTTTGCATTGAGGTAGGCTCTATTCAGCATGGGTTTAGAATATCTTTAAGGAATCAAACAATTGTTTTCATTTCTACAGATTCCCCACAGTCTTACAAACTGTCCCATGGGTACCTCTCCAATGGTATGTCTGGGGTATCCTGAATCTGACTGAAATGTATTGGCCAACACTGGTTTTTCTCGTTTTATGTTCGTGTGGAAGAACCCGCATCACCGAGGACTATGCCGACATCTTCTTATACCGGCTTGCCCTCTTTAATTACCGACTCAACATGACCCACCAGAACTCCTCTTGCCTCTAACATCATAGTGAAGGGGGAAACCGGTTAGTACCTACAGCAGAACCCATGGACCAAAAAACTATACTGGATGAAAAGAATCCGGACGCAAAAGCAGATTCAAATGGGAAACAGCTGCAACTTATAAAAAACCGGCACCTCTGACTACCAACTCGGGAAGATCGTGAGTTTTTTATATAGCCCTTAATTTCTCTCTCCTCTGTATCCCATAAATGAACTTATGCCTAATGGATCACTTGGTCATAACATAATCAAATGCTAAAATGGTGAAGATTTACCTGCAAATGAGATCCTGTCATTAATTTACCAGTATATTCGATTTGTCAAGATAATGTACTAAAAGTGTTCCATCAGCTATAACTATCGATTTCAGCGGCAATGCAAATATACTAACCGCTAACTGAGATACAGCTATTATAAAACCGAGATGTGGCTATTACTCATGTGAATACCTTACGTTCTCATAGAAAGCGAGGATTCTCTAAACTCCTCCCACCGAATAACTTTAAAAATTACTCATAGTTGAGACCAAATCCTTACTGTCAGCATTTACCAGACTATACCAATGAGAACTAAAACTTTTCCCGCATGAGAGGCCTTTCTGTCTGCGTCCTGTTAGCAACATATTCACGTTAGAAGGTGAAATAAGGACTACCCACGAAATATGTGTATGTGTGTTTATGTGAGACAGCGTTGTCGATTTTAAAGTGTGTTATGTCTATTTTTGGAAGAGATGCTACTCTTTCTTATTTTTCTAAATAAAATTTAATCTTTTTTCAAATAACGGTCTGATCTAACTCTTTTCTGGTCAGCGCACAGAACGGTGCTTGCGACCAATCTTTTCCTGTTATTGCTACCATACTTGCCCTGATATGTTCATTTCAAGGATGTATGTTGTCAATACACCCACAAGCTTCTTGCAAACTTGCAGGTTTTTTTCTTTATGGAAATATGACATAGAAGTGCAACATTTCAGGACCACGCAGGCATGACTACATATCATATCCATATCCATTTGCACTGATTACATTGTCATGCATCTTGCTGGGTTTTCTGGCACAACTAAATTTGCACAGACATGAGAAAAGCTATTGCTTACAGCAGGAAATGTTACCAATGAAAATGTACAACATGTTGCATTTTTGTAGAGCACCATTTGGAATTTATTTTTTTACACCAGCCACCTGAATAGGTTCCTTTATAAGGAACAAATGTGTCTAAAAATATAAGAAGCACATGCTAAAACACATGCCTCTAGTGGGGATTGGCCCTTAGGATTATACAAGTGAGCTTTCAATCAGTAAAAAGCACACATTACAATCCCAGTGCAAAAATTAGGGTCGCTTGGCTGGGACATCAATGTAACTTAGGACCTTTCTGACTGTAAAGGGTGTTAACTCTAATATGGATTGCAGGTCATTTTGGATGGTGTCAATGCAGGAAATGGAAGAAAGACACCAGTATTTTGTACAGGGGGTTACTTTTCAAACATGGACCAGACCATAGGTAAAATGGTCCTCTGCAACAGCCATGATTTAACATTTAATTAAGATTTTAGTGATTTACCTGTCCATTAGGAACACGGATCAGCCAAACACAGATCATGTTGTTGGGATATCCAGTGGCAAAGCTGGTTGAAGAGAAGGTTCCACTTTCTTCATTCAACAAGGTACTGCACACATCTAAGAAGATGGCACATAAAATACATAAGAAGTTCCATAATCAGATGGGGGGAAAAAGGAAAACAAAAACGACACACACAAACAATATATAGGTTAAAGGAGCTTCCCTAACTCTCAGGAACCACGTAAAGCCCATTGCACTATTAAATGCCACTAAAACCATCTTAAATTTGCTCCCCATTGACACAAATACATTTCATTTACATTCAACAAAATATCTCAATTTCCACATGTGTCAATTTTCACTCCGGTGAACATAAGGACACTAACTGTCTTCTGAAAGTAGCCCTGTCAGGAGGTAGGCAAAATTACAATACCCTGTAAATGTGTCCTGCAATGACTAGGCACCAGCAGAAGAACCACGGCAACCACCTGGATGTACGGAATAGGATCGGTGGGAGGAGTGAATACAGAGCACAATTTCAGACAGGCCACCAGGCAAGTAAATATGCTGTTTTCTTCACAGGGTACTGCCATTGTAAATTTGTTGAGGCCCTGTCACTAAGTTTATGGTCATTTTTATTCCATCACAACAAAGCATCCACATGCTAGAATGTTTTGCAAAGACATTTGCCAAGATTTGTACCAGCAGTTAAGATGCATTTTAGTTTAATGCCACTTTACAAGTGTAATAAGTAGACTAGATGCATGCAGAAATCATAGTTCTAAGCTGCACTTCTTATAGTCGTAATGACCTTGGTACAGTGGTTCTAGTAGTGCCAATGACAAATAAAAGAAGTTAAAGAAGTCACCTGCACTCCAAATGTGTTAAATAAATCAGCTCAGGTTCCCTTTCTCAGGGCAACAGTGACAATGAATGTAAAAGTGAGCCTACTATAAAAACAGTGAAGCCATCAATGTATTCCAACCCCTGTGATATCACAACGACATCATAATCCCGCCAAAATAAATGCAAAAGTCTGTTCCAACATAAATCATAATACAAGTGTGGGGGAAAAAGAATCTCTCACTTATAATTAGACCAGAGACAGACACTTATCTATGCCGTTAACCATACTCACTGCATTTATAGAGTTTGTTAATTTTTTGGACATCCAGATCACTCAATCCATATCTTTGTCCAACAGGTACATTCGGATCAGGAGTAGGTACGATGGTGGGCTCACTGTCATTCGTGGTGTACGCGTACCTTAAAAGGAGAGTTTAAAAAAAAAATTCTATAGTGCCAATATACTATGCAATACATAAGTGCATGGTAAATTTGATCACTCCCATCTGTCAATGCTTCTGAAGAAACTTACAGGAAATATATATATATTGTGATTTATTATGTTTAAACCCCCTCTTTACATTGTACTATTGTATAGGCAATTAGGTCACAGATTCAGCCAAAAGGCAATGCTTTAGATTTTCCCCAGATGTTTTCCCAGGGACTGCTTGACCGCTCTTTTGCAAAGTAATGTGTACAGGCCACAAAAGCACAAGCAACTCCTCCTGCTAGAAAGGCAGTTTGAAGTGTATTTGGAGCAAGATAGCATAGGATGAATGTTTAGACATTGGGGTCAATTCACAAAGCTTTTTTTCCAGATACCGCTCGTTATTTTAACGATTTTGCACGATATTGAAGCTAGTTCAATTCACCAAACGATTTAACGCTTTGAAAAATCATCAAATAACGTCTCACTACACGGAACCGATATTTTAAGGTGTGGATCGTTATTAAACGTTTCGATCGTTGTTTTAACAAGTCAAATCGTTAAATATGTACAGAAGTGCAATTCACAAAGATTTTTTTGCCAGATATCGATCGTTAAGCAATCGTTACATAAGCACCACCCTCAGGGTGTCGTTATGACATTTCCCTGGCGGTATTTCTTTGTTAGAGGAAGCTTTTGGCGACAAAAATTCAGTTCTTCAGTTTTGTAGTGAAAGTGTTTGGTAGTTTGGGGCAAGATGGAACCATTTGGGTGTGCTCTATTTGAACTTAAAACTATCCAGAGCCGAAGAAGAACACATCAGTATGTTGTTCTGATTTATAAACGTGTATTCCGTTCTCGCACTATTTTGGATTACTTTTCTGAAACCCAGGTGATAGCTAAATTCCGTTTAACATCTCCCATGATTCATTTCTCTGTAAGAAGCACTGTTCTCCTCCCCTTCTGCTCCCAGAATGCATCTCTCAAACGTTATTTTACGATCATAGACGTTATTATTACGTTTAAAACATTAGCATAACGATTGGATAACGAGTCAGTAGAAAACCATAACGACCATGTTGAATAACGATTATAGCTTTCGTGAATACCATGTTTGCTAACGTTAAATAAGGGGCGGTAATTTAACAACTGAAGGAAACTAATAACGTTTCTCTTTGTGAATTGACCCTATTATGTTTTCTTGATATTGACAAGCTGCTCAAGTTGTCTATTGTCAGAAATAGAAATTATGCTTTCCTAAAGGCAACAAAAAAAAAAAATGTTGCCTCTCAAATTTAACAAGCTGAATTTAATTTGTATCAGCCTTTTTGTAGTCCCAGTACAGCACACTGGGGAAGTTGATGCAGCACAAGGAACCTGTTACTTGTGATAAAGTGCTTATGGGCTGACAAGGGACAGGAGAGCAGTGACAGATAGGTGAGGCAATCAGTCTGCTGCTTCTTCTTCACTGTCCACAGCTGGATCTAGTGCTAGGTATTTTTTTTTATTGATATGGCAATTAATTTTACCCCTTGTCAAAAACTACTGTGATGATGCGCAAGGTGGAGATAGGACAACAGCCGTGTTATGAGCAGGGTAGGAAGCATGGTTTCCTGTTGACTAACAGCTGTTGCATTAGTTTTGTGACAAGTAAATGTTAACTCACCTGTCATAGTGCATAACGGAGTTGTAGTCATATGGCAAGCCCAAGGTATTTCCTTCTAACTTGTGAAAGCTGTTAAGATATTCTGTAGAGGAACAAAAAAAAAAAGAATTTTTATCTTAGTGCTAGATTACACGAAGGAAGATGACAGTGTTTATTAAGGTGTTCAGTACCTGGAATGATGAACTCATCCCTGATGATAATATAGCTATCTTTGTCACTTCGGGTAATTTCATGGTAAAATCCCAGAGCATGTTGTAGCTCGTGTTGTATAATGCCACGCTTCATACAGCCGGATGAGTACAGTTGAAGTATTTGAGCACCCCCAGTTCGTCCAACGAAAGAAAAACAACTAGAGGAATAGAAGCATAAAATCAACACACTATGAAGGAAGTAGAAATAATGTGCTTTTGTACAAGCATGGTAGATCTGCACCCTTTGTGGTCTCCTTAAATTGGGAGCCGATGTTTATTGCCAAATCGGCAACAGTACTTTATTCTTATTGTAATCTCAATGCTAGTTTCATGGCTGTCATGGCTATCCTCCAATTAGATTAGCCGCACGACGACCACCCGAACCCGACAACCACCCGAACCGGAAGAAAACTCTCCGGAAAATGACATTCTGCCCGAATGTCAACAAAAGGGGCGGAGCGAGCCGTGACGTCATGGCTCGCTCCGCCCATTTCACATTCTCAGCCGTCAGATACTACATAGCATTCGGGAACTCCCGAGTGCTATTCGTGAGTTCCCGAATGCTATTCGGGTCTTTGAGCCGAGGTGTCATAATACTTTTCATATGACACCTCGGCTCACAGACCCGAATTTCCGAATGCTATGTAGTATTTGACGGCTGAGAATGTCAAATGGGCGGAGCAAGCCGTGACGCCATGGCTCGCTCCGCCCATCTGTTGACATTCGGGCTGAATGTCATTTTGCGGCGAGTTTTCGCCGGGTTCGGGTGGTCGTCGTGAGTCTTTGTTTTTTTTCAATTAAAGGATTTTATCTAAAAGTCTGGACTTTTTACTAACTATTTGATTTAACCCTTTAGTGAATGGGTAGGGGTACAAGTACCCCTTACTCATTCACAAGGGGGGAGGGCGGCATCTGGGTACCCCCTTATTTAAAGGGGTACCCCAATCAAATAAGCCCCCTTGCCCGCAGACCCCTACAACCACCGGGTCAGGATTGTGAGGAAGAGGCCCTTGTCCCCATCGGCACGGGGACACCCTCCCAATGCACGTGGCCTGGTAAGGTGCAGGGAGGGGGGGGGAGGGAGAACAGTTTCTACTTCCTATGGTTTCCGAGTCCTTTGTGTTTTCTCCTATGCCAGTTAAATCTTGTAGCACCCATCGGTGAAGATACCTACCCTCCTGAAGATGTAATGTTGAGGTAGCTGCTCTCTGTGGTACGACTGACGAACCGCGCACAGGTCAGCGCTTCATATTCTTGCATGGCATTGCGGATTAGGGCCAAGTCGCTGTTCGCTAAATGAAACAGAAATATGCAAAATTATATTTAAAAAAAACAAAAACCTTTTGTTCCATCAAAAAAAGCAACTACTTAAATTGTCACTAAAATAATTAGACCAAATTAATTCCATTACCTAATGAGAAGTTGTACAATAACCTCATATACAAAGAAGTATTTCAGAATTTGATTTCATATTGAAAACCACAGAACCATATCAAGTACTAGATTATGTATTTATATTTCTGTCAATTTACCTTCCATACAGGTCTTGACGTATTATACATCCACTGGTATATTGCTTAAACAGTCCTAAAATCACCCAGGACACAGAATTGCCATACTGATGCATTTTTTGACAAACTGCTTTCTCAGACAAATACTTTAATAACTTCTATGTTACTCGAACAGCATTCTATTTTTCTGGCTCTGAAGTATCAGTCTACCTCAATCAAATAAGCTGGACTAAGCAATATCTGTTCTGGCGACCTAGGATGGTAAAGGCTGATTTTGGAAGAATAGTTACAGCATTTTTCCAGGCCCATCCACCACCAGTATGGCATCTAAGGCCACCTGGGGAGAGGAATGCCCGCCTATAATATACAAAAAGGCTAAAACAGTTATACGTAAATACATTTTTAATTGGATTACTTTTGACCTTTTTGGTTTGAGCTGTTGAGTTCTGTAAACAATAGGGTTTTTCAGAAAAGCCGAACCAAACATGTGAAAATACGATTACAGCTCCATCTGGTGGCTCAGAAGGAACAAATATTAAAATTTGCTACATTTATTTTATAGTTACTGGACACAGTTCTGACCATATGAAAGAAAAAACATACAAATCTACTATAAGAGAACTAATTGTTCAATCTATGCCACACATGCGCACTTATGTAACTTACCAGGCTATTCACAAAAGGGTGAAGAGAGAAGGCAAGAGAGAAGGCAAGAGAAGTGAATAATCTAGGCCAAAATAGCCAATTTGGAAAAATTCAACAATTCAGCTCACTTTCCAGTTCAGCTATACAACATAGCTGAACTGGAAAGTTCTAGGACAACCCTAGATTGTTGAAAGCTCCTGCCTTTTCCAAACTCTTCCCGCTTTTGTGAATAGCCCTGTTAATGTTATATCAGTTTGCTTTTAGACACTTGCCTCTGATTGATTCCACTCAAGCAGAGCCTTGCAATAAGTGGGGCAGGAGTCACTGCCACCAACCCATGCATGTGAAGGTCTTGCCCCTCTCTTATTGTAATGCTCTGCTTCAGAAAAGGGTCTCTGTTATATCTATTTTGTACTTTTAAAATTGTTTAGCCCTGACCGTAAAATTTACATTTCCAGCAAGAAAAAAAAAACACATAATACAAGTACTTACAATAGCCTGCATTATTAAGGATAAACGGCACACGAACAGTGCCATCTGAAGCTATGGGCCAGAGACAGGACGTGCAGCTGGTAGCTACTCGCGAGATCCTTTTCAAGAGGATGTCACCTTGAGTCACCCTGTTGACTTCACTGCTATAATCTGGGAAGACAAACAGTATTTTTTTTATTTAATTGCAGGCCTTTGAATAGTAAAACTGTAGTGTTTTCAGCACTCACCCGACCATTTATGTAGATTACACAGTTTACATGCTTACTGTACCATATCGCCATTTTTTTTACAAGTGCTCATTGTGATGGATGTCACCAACACACGACTATATGCAGCTCCGAACCTATCAAGGAACGTGGCGGTGCCACTCCCAACCTCACCCTGCACAGAGATTTCCCAGCTTGCAAAAATCTCAGGCCAGCAGACAGAGCGATCATCACTAGGGTTGGTTAACTCCAGTTTTACACACAAAACAGTAGCTGCCACCACATGTTTTAACGGAAACACGCACCGTAAGACAAAACAAGAGAGGGGCGCCTTTTCCTAGTGCAGATCAGTTTTTATTTTTCAATTAAAATGAGGATGGGTAAGTAAATGGATACTATCAAAAGTGGAAATTCACAAGCATTAAGAACAGTGTGGAGACCGAACCAGAATAGTAGCAGTAACAGTCTGGCAGGTGCGTCCTATGTGCAGATCGGTGTGCAAGAGTGTCGACGCGTTTCCGGGGCACGCCCCCTTCGTCAGGACATAGGACGCATGAAAAATAAAAACTGATCTGCACTAGGAAAAGGCGCCCCTCTCTTGTTTTGTCTTACAGTGTCTTCAGTCTCCCTGACTGCATTGGGGCTGCCTCCTGCATAGATGCCAATACATTAACTCTGTTTAAGAGACTATATATGACAACCTCTGGCGCTTCTTGATATATTACTTCTGTTGGAAACACGCACCGTTCTCAGCAAATGCTGTGAGAATTCAAAAATTTAAACAAAGCCTATAATACAGCTGACCTCTCAGACAGGAATATGACGGATCTCACTATACAGTAACATTCTCCACAGAGACAAGGATACTTTAAGTTCTTATTTAGAGTGGAGATATAAGCTTAACAATTTTTAAGTTTGATCTTTAATAAAAGAAAAACAGTGCAGGAAAAATATACAGAAAAAGATATTAACAAAGAGAGACAGAGATAACAATAAATAAAAGGGAATAAAAAGCGAGTACTTAACAAATCCAGAGTTTACTAAGCTCTAGCACAGTCCAGTTCAGTGCTACACAAGATGGATCTGAAGGGCTCTTTCTCCAAGTATTTCCCCAGAGAAATACTTTGACCCGACAAAAATACGTGGTTTTTATTCAGTCAGACCAGAGGGAGAAAAGCCATAAGGCTGACCATAGATTGGCAGAGATCTCCCTAAATGCGATGGATGGGGAGACACCTGCACATTTTTTCAAATACAAATTATGTAAGATCTATATAATGAACTGATCAAAAACATAAAGAAAATTTTACCTTTGTTGACCTGAAGAATGAGCGCGTAAACAACAGATCGGTCCAACTCCCTTTCTGAAAGAGGAAACATTAAGCATTAAAAAAAAGCTTTCTAAACTTTAATAATATTACGCAAGTCACAACTATAGTTTTGGTTCGAGTTCTTTGGTCTGTGCTACACCACTGTACTCCATTCCCCCCAACAACAGCATCAGAAAGTTTTTCAATGTCCATGATCTTACAGGCTAGCACATGTTTATCTGATACCCATCATTTATACCAGAATAAGAAGGAATCTCCCCACACAGGGCAGCAACGGAAAGCTAACAGAGGTTCTAACCCCCTTCAACCTATACACACTGAAATTAGCCAAAAAGATTAAATCCAGAAAAGCAGCTAGATACACAGAGGAAATAGCTCTAAGGCATCTGTTTTACCTGGAAAGACAGATTTGTATTTCTGTCTTTCCAGCCCTGAAATATATACAGCTCTAGCACATAGCACAGCCCTGTGTGGCAGGGGAGGAGAAAGTGGTGTCACAAGTGGGGTGCTGGGGGGTGCGGCCCACATCGAGGTGACACCATTGCAGGGGTGACACCAAAATGACTGACAGTCATTTTGGTGTGCCCCCCCTCTAAACAGTCGGGCACTCGGTCATGGACCGAGAGCCTGACAGTGTCAGGAGAGAGGAGGAGACCCGGTGGCATACCTCATCCCACTGGGTGAACGTCCCCTCCCATCTCTGCCAGTGTCTATCACCAAGATGGCAGGAGTCAATCTGATTGCCGCTCATACACGATGATTTCATCGCCCACATGCACAAGGTGACGTCACGCGCAATGATGACATGGCAGGGTGACACCCTGCCTCGGGATGCCCCTGGGAGGAGACCTGATCTATCTTAGCTAAAGTCTAGTAACACTCACAGGTCTGGTCCCATCCCCACCATGAGATTGAACATTGAAAGAAGAAACAACAGAGAAACAGGAGACTGATGAGCTCATCTGTTACTCTGCTCTCTCCTCTTATCAGCATGTTGCTTGATAACACAATGGATTGGCTCCTTGTGCTACTTCTCCCTCTCCCAGTCTGAGCTGCACTGTTCATGCAAGGTTTTAATGAATACAGAGCTGAAATAATGTGTCTTTTATATCTGCCTGGAGTTTAGCTTTACTAATAGAACTGAATCTATTTCATTCCTCCCTACACTGTGCACATTTTGTAGACAATGTTGCACTTCCTGTAGACAAAGCTACAATGTTGCAGTCTGATCACTGGAGGAGACTGAGGAAATGCTTCCTCTTGCCTGCAGCAGACTGATGGAAAAGTCCCTGACCTGGGTTCAAGGATTGCTTTACAATAATAAAAGGTGGAGCCTTTTTTTTAAAAAGATACCGTTTTTGTATAGAGTTATCAGAAAAGATGGCATGGCGATCGTGCAGGAAATTGCGCACAACCGCTGATCACTCTTGCTGTGCCATTCATTTCTAATGGTACTCCAATAATGGCTGGCAAATCATGCGGTTTTCCACCGCAATTCCGCATGTGCAATCGAGAACAATCTCAGCAGAAAAAACGCAAGGTGCGCACCACTGAAAAAGGTACATCTACCCTTTTTCAGCGATTGCTGCGCGGATATAACCCCATTTAAATCAATAGGGCCAGGCGGCAAACGCTGTGTGTCCCTGGATTGCCAAGTGTGCAAAAAAAAAACAAAAAACCACACACACACACACACACACAGAAAAACCACACTTACGTGTAGGTGGGGGCGATGGATTAATAATGGGATTCATCTATAAAATAAAAACAGCAAAAAAAATTACATTTAACTTTTACTTTCCAGAAGAAGGCTGCAGCTAGCCACAGGCTATTAGTAGGGATGCACCCAACCATTTTTTCCCAGAGTACAAGTACCAATACGTTTCCTCAAGTACTCGCTGATACCAATTACCAAATGTACTTTTTTTTGTGTCATGTAACAGTTTCTCCAAAACAATACAGACTAATTATTTTAGGAAAGTGGTGGAGCACCAGGGCCCGGTCAGAGCTAGTTCTGCCACTGGCTCCAAGCTGTAGAGGGACTACAAATCCCAGCATTACATTAAACAGCAATGCAGAATAATACCAGCAATAGATGACTACAATCCCAGTAATGCATTATACAGCAATGCAGAATAACACCAGCTATAGAGGACTACAATCCCAGTAATGCATTATACAGCAATGCATAATAATACCAGCTATAGAGGACTACAATCCCAGTAATGCATTATACAGCAATGCAGAATACCACCAGCTATAGAGAACTACAAATTAGAGCTGCAGCTATCCCAGTAATGCATTATACAACAATGCAAAAAAATATGAAGCTACATACTCTGTGTTGCTCCAGAGTGGCAGCCTCATGTCTCTAGGGTCTCAGGGGGCTGTGCAGAGTCTCAGGAGGGCTGTGTGGGGTCTCAGGGGGAGTCCAGATGGTCTCGCACGCGGGTGCGGGTGGCGTGGTATCAGGAAGGAAGAGATGTGCCGAGGTCCCCAGCAAGTAAGAGACCTCAGGCAGCTGCCTCATTTAAAAAATGTTAATCCAGTAATGGCACTTCCCAGAACTCACCTCAGGCGATCTGAGTCCACACCTCCTAATTATTGAGTTTAACAAGCATTAACAATATTTCTATTGTGATGGAGTGTGTTTAGAAAGGACTCCGATGTAAATGGTTAAGAAATATTTATTTCGATTTTTGTTAGATATATAAAAAGTTATTATTTTCCATGCATATCAATAAAAAATTAATCTTGACTTCCCTTGTAGTGATACTCCTGTGTTTCTCAGAATATCATGCCTCTAAGTCTCAGACAAATGCTGATATGTATATTTGCAAACCACATTACATACATTTCTTTGTACATTCATATATAGATATTCATATTTGATACAGTTCTATTGCAGGTATATTACTAATTGATGAGTCCCCTACGCGTTACGCTCACACAGGCTTCTTATCGGGGCACTTTCATAAGTACGAGTATTCGTGAAAATGGGCAGTATCAGCACCGATACTGATACGGTATCAGTGCATCCCTAGTCACAAGCCAATTCTATGATCTTCTTGAGATAAGTGCACAAGCCTACCCTAATGGGTATAAACTGAATACACGGTTAAAGTGTATGTCCAAGCAAAACTTTTTGTGCATGGTTTTGGATAGAGCGGAGAAGGGTTGCCTCCACATCAGCTTCTTACGCTTATCCGGGGCACCTTTGGATAGATTTTCCCTCACTTTATGTTCTACTAACAATGATTTATCAGACAAGAAAGTGAAAGAAATGCTCCAACAGCAACTCGGACAAAAATAAAATGATTTTCTTAGTTAAAAATATTAGAGTAGGGAGAAGCCTTGAGTCCATGTCAAATTTTGTATGTCTGTTTGTGTCCCTGTTGTAGATGTTTCTTTACTTGCTGTCTGGTTATGTCAGCAGGTCAGAAGTGATTATAAATTTCTCTAACAAGACCCCACATGCAGAAACAAAAACAAAAAAGGAGCTCAAATTCTTCCCAAATATACAAAACCTAAAAAAAAAAGACATTTAAAAAATGGCTTTTGGCTCCTACTCAGATTCCCCCAGGTTGAGTATTCTTATAGAAAAGAAGGAATCTTACATATCCTCTTATATAATCAGCATATTACTTTATGATGCTATTGTTAATTCTTACCTTTAGAGGGGCACATGCTATGAAGCCCGCACAGCAGGCCAAGAGGCAGAGAGCAATTCTCCCATTCATGGTACTGGAGGGTCTCAGGTATGAAGCTTCTGTGATGTAACTTGTCCCAGTCTCTGGGCTTTTTGTAGGGAATCCTAATAGTGTTCAGCCAATCAGCAACCGCAAAAGTGTGAATAGGGCAGTTCCTTCAGGGCTCAGTTATATAGGTTTTTGAGTTATATAAGTTTCTGTGGTGAGCTCTGTGAGGTCTATGGTGGGCAAAGCACCCTACGGATCCTGCAAAGCCCCCCACAGATCCTGCAAAGCAACCCACAGATCCTGCACAGACCCCCTGAGACCCTGAAGGATCTCAGGGGGACTGTGCAGGATCTGTGGGGGGCTTTGCAGGCTGCAGAGCCCCCTACAGACCCTTCAAAGCCCCCCACAGATCCTGCAGAGACCCCCCTGAGACTCTGCAGTCTGCCGGATCTTAGGGGGGCTGTGCAGGATCTGTGGTGGGCTTTGCAGGCTGCAGAGCCCCCTACGGATCTTGCAAAGCCCCCCACAGATCCTGAAAAGCCCCCCAAAGATCCTGCAAAGACCCCCTGAGACCCTGCAGTCTGCCGGATCTCAGGGGGGCTGTGCAGGATCTGTGGTGTGCTTTGCAGGCTGCAATTGCAGGCTGGTGTGCTTTGCAGTCTGAAAATCGTACGATCGACCGAAGTTTTCTAACCTGCTGTTTAGTCCAAAGTCGATCGATTGTACAGTATTTGCAGTTGTACACTGCCCATCAACCTTACGAATATCGGACGGAAACGCGCTTGCATACAAAAATCGACTGATATCCGTAAGGTGTATGGGCACCTTTATCCGCTCAAAATAGAAAACCAAGATGGCACATAGTGTAAAACTGCTAGATGATAGTTTATTCATAAAAATCAGAACACTTACATTTAAAAGGGTTTTTCAGCGCTGTAAAAACATAAAATCGGCTTGTATGAGCGCAGCTCTGTCTCCTCCACTCCATGCACTAGTGTCAGCGTGTAGCTAATTGTCACAAAGTATATGCACTTAGAGGTTTATAGAAATGATCGGGGATAGCGCAGTGTCTTTTGTTTAATATATTGTGGGAGAAGTTTACATAACTTCTCTTTATCTCTGCAGCTGTCAATAGGGTGTTATTGAGGAGTTTCGGGAGAGCACTATAGCGCGGATAATCATTTGTTTTAAAAGGAGCCTACGGCTCCTCTGACGTCAGTACACTGACCCACAACCCGAAAGTCTGGGAAAACCTGTATATCTTCCTGGTTGCCGTGGGGGAGGAGTGGCTGCAGTTAAGTGTGGGGGACGGGAATGTTGGGAAAGTGCTGGGTG